AGTGCTTGGTGACTGACAAGGAGATTATGTTCATTAAGATCCCTCTTCCCCTTCCATCTTCAGTATAGCAGAGCCCATTTCCCAGCTCGGGAAGGAGGGTCCTTGTGGTGTCCGCAGCCGTGAGTGGCCGGGCAGGCCCGGGACCCGGTTCTCCCCACTCTAGATGGTGCTGTTTGCTCAGATCTGTAATCGCGAGGGAGGATGGCAAGGGTCCAGCCTGCTCCATCTTCCGGCTGTTCTCCCTCTTGGCTCTTAATTTCTGTCCCTGCCGTCCATCCCCTCCTCGACCCCATCTCTCCCTCTGTCCTCACTGGCCCCATTCCGGCCTGCTGGCCTCCACCTCCTTTGTCTGGAATGGGTTTCCTTCGATGAGGGTGGGGTGGAGTGTTGCTTCTTCCTTCAGCTTCCCCACTCAGATGCGAGCTCATCAGAGAGCTCTTCCGTGCCGACCCCACATAAAATAGCAGCCCCTGGCCCTCTCTGTCCCTCTTCACTTAATTTACTTCTCTTTTCATCACTTGTCCCCACCTGGTTTATATTTACTGGGTTTTTAAAGATGTGCCTTCCCTTCTAGAACATAAGCTCTCTGAGGGCAGGGATTTTGTCCCTCTTGTTCATTTACTGTAATCTACCTTTGGACATACTCTTAATGGACATCCAGAAAACATCCCTGTGTATAGGTAGGATACGGCAAGGCATGGCCATCCTGACCTGTGCTATGCCCTGGTGTTCTCCCCACTCCCAAGATGAGCCCCAGGAAATTTTGGGGGGCGGGTAGATGCTGATCTTTCCCCATGCATCTGTCGTGCTCACTGGCATGACCTCTTTCCTCCCTCCATCGCTGCCTCGCACTGATGCTTTATAAATGTATTAGTGCCTGAATGATGTCACTGTAATGCATTTTGGGAATAGCCATGTGGTTTATACGCACTTGAATTGCTTTGAATGCAAACCTGACATCACAGTGAAGGCAGCAGCGAACAACATATGCACAGTAAACAGGCAGAGACTGTCTTATTGATTAACAGATGAGGCCTCTATTATTGATCAAAGCTTGGCGAGGAAATTTATCACTTTTAATTTCAGGGCTGCCAAATATTTCTGCCTCTGAGCCAGCCATTACAGAGACAATTTAAAGGCACATGCTTCCTTGGGAAGAGGGGGTTTCTGCCTCTCTTTGCTGGGCTCCCGGACCCAGGAAGTGTCTATCTTTGCTGTTGGGCTGTCCCTGGGGAGTTGGGGGGCGGGGGTCTCGGTGGGGGTGGGGGGAGTCCCAGAGCTTCCCGAGTGGGGCCTGAGATGGGAGCCAACGTCTGCGGTCTCGGCGTGTGATAGGAGTTCTGACCCATCTGGGTGGACCAGGCTCTGCACAGAGGCCAGGGGGCGTTCACAGCCTCAGCTCAGTGTCGTGACTTCAGCAGGGCAGGCGGGGAGAGGGGAGGACGCTGAGGGCAACCAGATGTGGTCAGGCTCGGGCCAAGTCGGCAGCCTTGACAAGATCGCATGTGCTGATCTGTTTTTATCTTCATCTGAACTTGTCCGATGGCACACATCCGGCCCTTCGCTTCCTACCTGCCCTCCTTCCTTTCTCTCTGCTTCTCGGTCCTTAAAGCTGATGCTGCTCTCGCCGTGTGGATGGCTGTTTTCTAAGAACCCTCTGCACCACATCCCTTTGAGGCTGCAGTGCAAAGCCTCCTCACCTGGTTGCAGGGCTCCTGCCTGAGGCTCAGCCCACGGGGCTCTCCGGTCCCCGCTGCCCTCCTCGGGCCTCCCCATCTGCTCTCTCCTCTAGGGAGCCGTTAGAACTGTGAGAAGCAAAGAAAGAAAGGCAGCGAAAGTCAGATCCCTTCCAGATCCGCAGGAAGTCATTGCTGGCTAGTGAGTCGGGACTGGGGGAGAATTTCTCGGGGCAGGAAGGCTGTGGCTTCATCCACCCGCCTGGTCCGCGCTGCTCTTTGACGTACTTGTTGCGTTTCCAGTGTACGTGGATGGAAAGGGGTCCTGGCCGCCACCTGAGGGAACACACATTCGGACTGTCTTGCCGTCAAGTTCCTTCAAAAGCTCCTTCTGGAAGCCGTAGAAGGCACGAATGGTCCTTGGTCCAAGGACACCCTGCAGCTTGAAGGGACACCCGGAGGTGATCGTGACCTCCCCGTCTCCAGGCAGAATTCAACTCCAGCCACCTAATACAACTGGCAATATTTATATTTGAAGCTCTTAAGGAAAAGTGACTCCATATCTTTCCTAGGGCACTTTTTCATTCATTTATTCAGCCAGTCAACTAATGTTTTTATTGAGCCACCTGGTAGAGGGTATATTTTGCTCATCAGTTGGAATATAGACAAGGTCACTGTTCTCCTAGGACCTGACATTCTGTACACACTCTGGGATCCTTTTACCCGTCACTGGCAAGAACTGTTTATTGCCGTTTAATTTAAGCCCATGCAGGTACAAATTGTATTTTGAGTTCTGTTCCTTATAGTATGTGCTGTTATTCTAAGGAAGAAGTTTTTAAAACTTCTTTTTTTTTTTTTTAAAGATTTTATTTATTTATTTGAGAGACAGAGAGCATGAGAGGGAGGAGGGTCAGAGGGAGAAGCAGGCTCCCTGCCGAGCCGGGAGCCCGACGCGGGACTCGATCCAGGGACTCCAGGATCATGACCTGAGCCGAAGGCAGTCGCTTAACCAACTGAGCTACCCAGGTGCCCCGTTTTTAAAACTTCTTAAAAAGAGTAGTGGAACCATTTCTCCAGCTAGAATTTTACACAGAACTTTGATGTATAAAAGGGACGTATTGGAATTTTATTTTCTTGTGTTGGGGGGAGGGAAGCCCATACCTCACCTTCTTATCTGTGAAGCATCTTTGCAGGTGGAGGCCTAGGGAAGCCCAAATACACAGAGATTAAGAACAAAGGCTCTGAAGTCAGGCTGGCCGGGTTTGAATCCCCTTCTGTTACCCTCTGTGCGACGCTGGGCCAGCTACTGAACCTCTCTGAGGTTGGGGTTTCTTGTCTGCTAAAGGGGAGTAATAGCAGTATGTACTTTTCACGGTTGGTAGGATCAAAGGCAACAATACATCTTAAACACTTCGCATCGTGCCTGGTATCTGGTAGAGCCTCAGGAAAGCGGAGATTTGGAAAGCAGCACTAGGTTTCTACTATAAATATGTAAGAAGTTCTGCCGTGGGGCGCCTGGGTGCTCAGGGTCCTGGGATCGAGCCCCGCCTCAGGCCCCCTGCTCAGCAGGGAGCCTACTTCTTCCTCTCCCTCTGCCCTGTCCCCCCTCGCTTGTGCTCTCTTTTGCTCTGTCAAATAAATGAAAAAAATCTTTAAGAAAAGTTCTACCTCTTCTGAGACTCTCATACAAATGTAAAACACAGCGTTGTGAAAGGAACGACGTGGAGAGCGTCCTGGAAAGGGCAGAACAGAGACGGCATGCTTGATGCGCACATCCTCCGGTCCTGAGGATGGAATGGGATGGAGAACTGGGACCAGGCTGTGCTCACATGCAGAGACTCAGGGAGGGTCCAGCGGTTCCACCCAGGGCTGGTGAAGACAGCTCCCCGTGGAGTTGGGTGGCTAGCTGGTCAGGCCGCACAGCCACATAGAGGAATTTAGAATCAGTGCAGATGGTGAGCCGTGTAAGTTCTTGAGCAAGAAGTAGGAAGGAAGCAAGTGGCCTTCAGGGCACCTGCATGTATTGGGTGAGTCAGGCCAGCTGGTGGGGGTGGCGGCCGTCCTGAGTCTGCCAGTGTTCTGGGCACCACCCAACAAGGGCCTGGATGGGGCAGTGAGAATCGACATGCAGTGCAAGCGATGCATCTAGAAGACATTTCGAATGAAAATGGCCAAGGCTCGAGACAGGTGCCCCCTGAATGAAGTCACCGCATGAGAGCCTTGAAGAGTGTTAGCAAATGGTAAAAAGTCCTGTTTGTCTTAATGCTGTGGCCTTGTCGCTTTGAGCCTTGTAAATAACGGTTCGGAAAAGTTTATCGATTTGCTATCGCACTGAATTGATTTTGTTGATTCCACAAATATGTACAGTAGTAGGTTCCCTCGGGTGTCGGGCCGATGCAGCTGTGCATGTGATGACATGCTCCTGCCCTCGGAGAGCTTCTAGTGTGGCAGGAGACAGGGATGGGTCCACAGGCATTTAGGAGAGTACACAGTGAGCCTTTGATCTGGAACGTACGGGGTGCTGTGGGAGCACAGGGAAGGGCTGCATCCTCCAGATGCGGGGACAGAAGTATGGCAGCTGGTGCGTAGGTGGTGCTCTCCAGTGGGGCTGGAGTGTCAGACATGGGAGGAGCAGAAGGATGCGCAGAGGCCTCTCAGTGGGCAAGAGCCTGACCCCTTCAGGGAACCCGACCGGCTGAGTGGGACTGAAGACCAGGCAGCAAGAGTGAGGGGCGAGAGACAAAACTGGAAAGATAGGCACGTCCAGAAGTGCTTTGTGAGTCTTGGTGAGGAGTTTGGATTTTATCCTGAAGACACAGGAGAGTCACTCAGGGATTTTAAGTGGTCAGGTGCAGGGGGTTGTTGGGGCAGATAGTCTAGTTTTGGACGTACTGAGTTAGGGGCTGTCCAAGTAGAGGTATGCCAGCAATTCCTACTTTCCCGTAAGGTACAACTTAAGCAACAGGGCACGTTTCCTCTTGTTGAATCTTTACTCCTCTCTGTGGAGCCGGCCCCCCAGAACCCTGCTGCCTCTTGGGGAATCTCATCGAGACCCCATCTCTGCTTGTGTTGGTTATTCTGATTCTGTTCCCTCTTCTCTCTGGAAGACCCCTGAATGGTGGCATCTGGAGCTCAGTTGGGTGGGTGGTCACAACCTGGAGGAGGGGCTGGGCTGGCTGCTGGGGCCAGCGGCTGTCCCTGACTCGGCATCTTCACAGGTATCCAGCCCCTCCCCCAGCATCCACCTACGCGATTTCGGCCCAGGACCCATTCCCCACAAACGGAATATCACTCTCACGTTGACTGCCTCCCCTTTCTTTTCAGCGGGTGCCAAAGCCTTTGTCTGTGACCAGTGTGGAGCCCAATTCTCGAAGGAGGATGCCCTGGAGACACACAGGCAGACCCATACTGGTGAGTTGACTGATGCCCATTCTCCAGGTCCTCCAGCGTGCCAGCTCACGCATGAGGTAGCTTGGCGGCAGCCTCTTTCAACAAACATGACATCTGGTCGTGTCCTGGGGATCTTGTGCCATGTTCAGCTACACTTGTGTGTGGGGCTGGCTGGCAGGAACGTCCACGTGTGACCTTGCCCCATAGCAAAGGCTGCCCTGGATGAGGTCTCACAGGCCCCCAGAGTCCCGTCTTCACAGAGCCCTCTAGCATGCTCTTGTTGAGGTCTTAGAAGGCCTGTGATGTTATCTAGCATCCCCTTGCCTTGGTGAACGGTCAGGAAACCTCTCGTACTCTATCTGAATACCTCTGAAACCCTCAGTGGCCACAGCGGGCTGGTCTTCCCGCTGTGAGTCAAGTCATGATATAAAAGAAAGCAGTGTCTACAAAAGGATGCGTGTGAACCATTCAGCTGGCAATGAGGTCACCGTATTTGGTGTTAGAGGCCTGGTTGCTCGGCCTCAGTCCCATCACACCATTAGTCATCTTTAGTGTAGCCCAGGGCCGTACCCCATGTCACCGGGGGAACCTTTCAGTAACTTTGTAAGGTCGGAGGCACCTCCCGTGTCATAGACGAGGGCCCTCCAAGGAGGGTCAAGTGACTTGCCCAAGTTAACAGGGGGGCCCGGAGTGTTGCAGCTTGGATGGCCTGGGTCTCACCCTGGCTCTGCCCTGCCTGCCCGCGAGACCAGGAATTCATCCTTGATACTCTCTTACTTGGGGTCACTTCCTCCGTTAGCAAAGCGGAGTCATGATCGTACCTACCTCCGTAGCGTCGCGTTGTCACGGGGATGTATTAAGATACTTTATTTGAAGTGCTCTGCAGAGTGTTTGGCCCATAGTGAGCATTTCGTACATAGGAGTAGATGCATTTAAAATATTTATGGACTTCCCACAATGTGCCTGGCATGCTTGTTGCATTTAGGGTATGGTAACATATGAGACAGATGGCATTCCGGCCCCTCGTGGAACTGAGATTCTAATGGGGAGACATTATAGGCAAGTAAGTGTGTAATATAAGGTCAGGTAATACTACGTGCTAGTGGGGAAATGAAGCAGGATAAGGGGAAGAGAGTGATAAGGAGAAAAGTGATATATTTTTTTTTCTTAAAGGTTTTATTTATTTATTTGAGACAGAGAGAATGAGAGACAGAGAGCATGAGAGGGAGGAGGGTCAGAGGGAGAAGTAGACTCCCCGCCGAGCAGGGAGCCCGATGCAGGACTCGATCCCGGGACTCCAGGATCATGACCTGAGCCGAAGGCAGTCGCTTAACCAACTGAGCCACCCAGGCGCCCGGAGAAAAGTGATATTTTAGATTAAATAGCTGGGCCTCTCTGAGAAGGACATGAGGGAGTGAGCCTCTCAGAGGGAACAAGCATTTGCAGAAGCCCGGAGGCTAGGCTAAACTTGACTGGCTCAGGGAACAGCATGAGGAGCCTTGTGGCAGGGCAGGGAGAGAGGGCAGGGAGTGAGTGCAGGGAGTGGTGGCAGATGAGGTAAAAAATCAGGTGAGTCTCTCAACCCTAGTAAGGAATTTGGATTTTATTCTCCGTGTGCTGAAAGTCCATTGGAGGGGGATAAAATATTTGCAGATCGTATCCCTGATAAGAGACTTAACAGTTAGAAAAGATAAAGAACTCTTACAACTCAATTATAAAAATACAAATAACCAAAATAAAAAATGGGTAAAAGATCTGCACAGACATTTCTCCAAAAATAGACAAGTAGTCAGGGCATGAAAAGATGCTCGACACCACTGGGCCATCATAAGGGAAATACAAATCAAAATGACAAGTTGTTTTTAATACCCATCAGGATGTGGCTATAATACAAAACACGGGCAAGAAGAAGTGTTGGCGAGGACGTGGAGAAATCGGAACCCTACACAGGGCTGGTGGGAATGCAAAATGGCGCAACCACTTTGGACAGCAGTCTGGCAGTTCCGCAAAGGGTTAAACATAGAGTTACCATATGCATAACAACCCTACTCCTACGTGTCTACCGAGAGAAATGAAAACATACGTTCTCACAAAAACTTGCACATGAATTTTTATAGCAGCATTATTCATAATAGCCAGAGGTAGAGATGACCCAGTGTCCGCCCACTGATGGTTGGATAAACAAAATGTCATTTATGCGCAGGATGGAATATTATTCGGCTATAGAAAGGGGTGGAGGAGTGATATACTGTACAATGTAGATGAATCTTAAAAACATCATGCTCAGTGAAAGGAGCCAATCACAAAAGGTCACATGTTGTATGATTCCATTTATAGGAAACATCAAGAATGGGCAAATCTATAGATGGAAAGTGAATTAGTAGGTTCCAGAGGCTGGGGGAATTAAAGGGAAATTTGGGAGTGACTCGGGGGGAGGTGATGAAAATGTTCTAAAACTGATGGTTGCACAACTCTTGAGTATATTAAAAACTATTGAAATGTACAGTTTAAATGCATGAATTACATGTTATATGGCATATGAATGATAGTAATGTATGCACACACACACACATCCCACCCACACGCACATGCACAAACACGTATAGAGAGAAGGAGATAATAGTCCATTGGAGGGTTTTGAATGGGAGAATGACATGACTTGATTTATGTGTGTAACAGCTCACTCTGGCTCCTTGGGAATTGACCACGGGGAGTGTGTCACTTAGTAATTACTGTGTAATGAACCACTCCACCAGCAGATTAAAGCCACCGAGGGTTATTACCCCTGACAGTCCTGTGGGTTGACTGGGCTCAGTTGGCTGGTTTTCACTTGGGGTCTCTCATGAGATTGCAGTCAAGCTGTATGTGGGTCCGGAGGTCGTCTGCAGACCCAGCAGGGCTGGACATTGAGGATAGCTTCCTCACTCTCCGTGCTCTACCACTCGGCCTCCCTCCGCGGTAGAGTGGCCTGAATTTCTTCCGGGACAGCTCAGGGTCCCAAGAGTTTGGAAGCGGAAGCTGCCAGCTCTCTTCTGAGCTAGGCTGGAAATCTATGGCATCGCTTCCGCCATGTTTTATTGGTCAGAGCAGCCACAGCTGAGCCCCAGATTCAGGGGGTGGAAGGCTAGACTCCCCTTCTCAAGGGGTCGTGACAGACAAATACGGAGTGGTATATGGTGGTCGCCTTGGAGACTGGCTGCCAGGCTACTACAGGGGGTAGCGTGGAAGAAGGAAGACCAGTCAGTTGTCGCGGCCGCCACCACCATTAGGTCAGCGGTATTTCCGTGTCCTGTGACCTCCCACGATCTGCCTTTCCCAGGTGGAAAACGTGGTATCAGGGGCCTTGCTCTGGACAGCTAGAGGAGCGCTTTTTGGTGAGCGTCTCCCTGGCTTGGTTACAGAGAAGGTGACTTGGCCAAGTGATTTTGCCCAGGGTTCCAGAGCTAGTTATCTTAAAAGCCAGGGCCGGACCCGGGTGTCCCGGTCCCAGCCAGTTTCTTATTGCCAGACCACACGTGACAGAGAGTCCCACTCTGAGAATTCTGCTCTGGGGCCTGTGGAGCCTGAGCAGTGAGCCGCTTGAGCTGTGCATGCGGATTAAATCTGCAGCAGGAGGAAGCAAGCCACCTCCCAGCCAGGATCAGAGGCGGAGGCTGAGTCCCTGAGGGGTGAGCAGGAGGGGAGGCTGTTTTCGAACAGATCCGGTGCACTTAGTGAGCACCTTCTGTGTGCCTGACACCCCCCACCCCCGGGGCTGGGGGGGAATACAGCAGTGATCAATGCAGACATGGTCTCTATTTATTTTTTTTTCAAACAACTTTATTGAAATAGAATTCACATACCATACAGTTCACCTGTTAAAAGTACACAATTTGATGATTTTTGGGATATTACACTCTTTTTTAAGCATACATACAATTCATGGGCATAAATGACATTTCTGCCTGTTTTTAGAATCTGGGTTGATGCAGCTTTGAAAGTTGGGAGCCGTCTTAGGACCAATGCTTTTCTAGGATTTATTAAGTCAGTGAGAATTTGAAAGTGGCCGACTCCTTCCAGAAAAGTCTATTTGACTAGTGGTTGGAAAGAACCTGGAGTTTGAGTCCAAAGCCTGAGATGGGGCTCTAATTCCACACTCTGGTAGGATGATGGCCTTGACTTGTTATTCATCTTTTCTGCCCTGGAGGTCACCTCACCTGCAAAAGAAATACAGTGCATCCTTCCTATGGCAGAGGTGGACCCAGCCCATCCTGCCTCCCTTTAGCTTTATCTCCAGGTTGAGTCAATGGAGCTCTTGAAAGGGGCAAGAAATGGAGAAAATGAATCCAAATTAGGAGTGAGAGGTGAAGGGGTATGCTTTAGGAAGGGCTCCCTCCCCACCTGGGCATGAGCTTTGGGCACGCTCCCCCAGTGGTCACGGGCACTGGGCCACTCCTAGTGCAGGCAGGCTTGGCTGGGTGAAGGACAGATGCACAGCAGGGTTATCCTTTGTCAGTGGCTCTTCCTGACACATGGCAGAGCTCCTTTAGAGCACCGTTGCCTGCAGAACCCAGGTAGTTTCCCAGACTCGTCTAATTATCAAAGAAAGGACACAACTGGACATCCATTTGCCATCTCTGTTCTAGGAAAGGGGGCCCATGAAGCAGGGAGTGGCCAACTAACAAGGAATGCGGACATTGACGCTGAAGTTACTGGGCTGGGAAGAGACAGGTGGGGCGCCAGGTACAGTTGGAGAGCCAACAAGAGAGCAGAGAGCGCTCTGAAGAAGAAAAGGAGCCGAAACCCTGGGGAGAGGGAAAGTCATGGTCATGCTGCTCTTTATTTCTGATACCTTACTGGGTAAAACACATTTCTCTCTTATACCCATTTAATAGATGAGGAAACGGAGGCCTAGAAGCCACCCACTAGGAAGTGGAGAGCTGGCGCTTGACCCAACTCCAACTTCAGCACTTCCCGCTGCCCCCCACCTGCCTCCAGAGTGACTTACTGTGGTCCACAGGTGTGTGGCTGAAGACTGGGGA